TGATTATGCTACAATAAAGCTCATCAGTGGTAGGCTATTAGAAGAATCAAAGTTATACACTGATTTTCATTTGCATGGGGCTTGGCTTTTCAAATTCCTCACATTGTTTAGGGGTCAGCTATATAGTAAAATTAGACATGTGAGATTTCGCTATCTTGCTACTCAGAATTTCAAATTCTAGATTTCTAATCTCAAGAAACTCCTGCACACAAACAATGCACATACAATAAATACTAGTGTGCCCTCCAGAACTTTGTGGGGGGGGGGGAATGATACTTTTTATTTCTGGTTTTTTAGTAATAACTAAACACTGCAGATTGACTTTAGGTTGACCTTTCGGACTAGCTACTTTCAGACTAGCCACTAAGGGCTGGAGCAATAGCACAGCTATAGGGTGTTTGCCTTGCGCACGGCTGGCCCAGCTGAGCCAGGTTCTATTCCACTGCCCCTCTCGGAGAGCCTGGCAAGCCACCGAGAGTATCTCATTGGACAGCAAAGCCTGGCAAGCTACCCATGATGTATTCAATATGCCAAACACAGTAACAAGTCTCACAATGGAGACGTTACTGGGCTCACTCGAGCAAATCAGTGAGCAATGGTAGGACATTGCTACAGTGCTACTAAACACTAAACATAACTTAGATGTCCATTGACAGGAGAATGCTGGATATTCTTACAAAGCAATATTAATGACCAAAAAAAGAAAAGAATGAACTATCACTACTACACATGTCAACCTGGGTGAATCTCAAATAGGATGCTGACCAAGAAACACTAGTTTGAAAGCATAAAAATATCTACATATTGACAAGTGAGTCATATATATATATATATATATATATATATATATATATATAGCCAGTATATAAGAAACACATGTATGATAATACTGTAAGAAGAGGAGGTATAATAGGGCTCTTGATGTATTTTTTGTACATTACACAGAAAGACAGCCAAGAAGGTGATTGGATCAAAAATATAGTTCTTTACAAATGCTCTGAATCTTTTACCTTCATATGAGGCTTGTACCTTTTCAACTTAACTCAAATATATTATGTAAGAGTAGCACACATAGTGTGTTAGAGGTATTGGAAGTATTCCATGTCTTCCACTGGATGGTTGTACATATCCCTAGTATTTATATTTTATAAGTGAACATATGAAGACATACAGATTTAATGAATATATACATGCATAGTTATGCAATCTTCATAGATTATATAATATGTAGTTAAATTTACATGTATAGATAGGATATATATGTGCTGTATATGTTATATGTATGTGATTTGTCTTACTAAAAATCTGCATAAAAGATGTAGCACTATATTCTCTTAACATGGTTATTTTATCCATTAAAAAGGAGAAAATAATGAATTTCTTATAACCAATCACTATTTCTCTTGGGGGAATAGTATAGTATGATATATATTTATATTTTTATCACATCTAGAATGCTGTTAGATGCTTTGAACTCATCTTTATCAGGAAGATGAAATGGTTGAACTGACTCTTAAGAATCCTTCTCATTTATTGACTACTTCTGTTCTCCAAAGGACTGTGCCACGTCACCCCATTGAAGCATCCAAGCTCTGCTGTGATGGGCAGAGAACAGTCCAGGGGAGCATTTCCACTTCATCTGATAGAGAACCTCAAGTCCCCTAGTGTGAAATGACTCTGCGAGAGTGCAGGAGGACAGTTCTTCTGACTTCTCCTTTTTTCCTTCCACATGAAATTGGGTTAAGGCAGAAGCAAAAAGAGAGAGGTGGGCAAAAGATAAAGAGAAGGCCTAGTTGAAGAAAAGGAGATGGAAGAACAAGGCCCAGTAGTGGTAGAAACACCCACACAGTTGCCATAAGAATGCCAAGCGAGGCAGGTCTCAGGCCAGGGGCATATTCCAGTGAATATCCTTGGAAGGATATATCTCACTCAAGGAGAGTGGGTTAGAGTGATGGATGTGATCGTTTGCCTAAAGAAAGTGATATCATCAGGAATGAGCACCAGTTGAAATGGTTTAGGACTTGCCAAAGTTTTCAGTCTCTCCATTTCATGGCAGCCCTCACCAGGCAAACAGCATGTGTCCCTCTGGTACAGCCCCTCCAGCTCCTCAGATTAGGCATCCTAGTTCTCTGTATGTCTCCCTATTTCACCAGAGCTCCAAGATCGACTTAAGTTTATCCCGAAGCTTGCCACCTGAGAACCCCACTCTCCAGCCAGCCCACACACCTTCCACTGTTGGACCACACCAAGGCTCTTTTTAGCCTCTTTGCCAGTTGGCTTTTCACTTTAATCCCCAAGCAGTGCAGCCCACTGCTACTAGGATAGTGAGTATTTCTGTGTAACATTTTTGTACAGTTCCAGCCATGCTCTGGCAAGATACAGCTGAAGACAAGAAAAAAAGGTCTCCTCTTGAGACGGTCACTATATAGTGGTACAATTCTTGGAACCTAAAGGTTAAGTTCTTAAACAATTTGATCTCCATCGCCTCAACGTAAATTGGACATGGATACCATATCTTTAATGCTAATTAAGCATTACATTACTTAGTCTTCCAGGCCTCATGTAAATAACAATTAGCAATAATTTAGCAGTTGTACATGCTGGCATCTTCTAAGCCATACCATTGTATACCATTCCAAATTCCTTTGCATTAATTAGGATCATAATCCATTCAGTACTAATTAGGAAGGAAATAAGTATAATAATAAATGAAACAAAATTAGTGATTTGTATCTGGTCGGTAGTTCCTTCCCTCCGCAGTTCATCAAATAGTCTTAATGCGTAGGAACTTCTTGTAATTGAAACTAATTATGAGGTTTCCCCTGCTACTCTGAGCCTCATGTTCAAATCCCACGAAGCTCATTAAATAAGTAACAAAACTGGAATCTTTAACACATATTGTAACTTGGATCATGTTAATTAGCACCACACGCAAAAGGCAGCGAGAGGCCATTTAGCAGCCCCTGCTCTAGTTAAAGGGTAGGGAGATTGGGATCATTACAATTCTGCTGGGCTTGTAAGAAGCCAGGCCAGTGGTGGCTAGGCACTTTGGTGAGAAAGGCCCTTTGGCATTTCAAAGAAGGCACTTGGAACCTTGAGGCTGAAGCTACACTTAAGGACATTTCATACATTTCCAGCTGTGCATGAAATCTATAAGCAAATGACATGGCAAGCCACTTATAGAGGGGAACTTTGGATACCCCAGACACTTGCCCCACACCTGACCCTCTCTATGCTACTCTCTCCCACAGTGTCACACCAGTTTTCAAGTTATCCCTTCTATAGTCCTAACTTTCCCCCATTGTGTCTCTATAGATGAAGCCCCAAGTTCATGATCAATTCAGCTCTCAGTAGAGAGCATAATTCAGGTGACTTGAGTATGTGCTGTATGTGACCCAGAGTCCTTTGCTGGTGTCTTCAAAGTTGAGTGGGGAGCATGAAGGACCTCAGTGAAGTCACTTGCCCTGCACAGACTGAAACTGTATACACATAAACCCATGCGTCTGTTTCTAGTCAAACATATGCACCGTTCAGGAGACATATTGACTGTGTTCACAGCTTCCACGCGGAGCTAAACGACTGCCGTTCCTGTTCCATATACAGCTAGATCTGTACATAGCTCTCTAGGTCTTGACTGGAAGATGCTTGGAAACAAATGCAGCTTCAAATGTGCCTCTTGCTCTCCTCATGGTGCCAGGGAACAATGTACTGTCATACCCCAGAGGACTAGGCTGGGAAAGTCAGTACAGAGAGGTAAATCCACAGGGAGGTTGGTTTATGGTGTACACACCTACAGCCCTAGAACTCCATAAACAATATGATTTATTGCTGTTTTTATGAGAAGGTGTTCTGCAGCCACCCTAACAGAAAACACTTGTGACACAACCACTCTGGCTTGTCAAGCTTGATAGGATCAAAGACCTGACAAGTGATTGCCAGGCAAGCAGCTGAATTGAAGCTAATGATGTCTTAAGCTCTTCATGTGAATTTTGTGTATTTTTGAGTGGAATCTTCTGGTTCTTACATAATAAACAATGATCCTGAACATCCTTCTAGCCCCAACGGAGGCCTGACTATTAAGGAAAGCACAACTTCCCCTCCAGACCTCTGATTATTGATATGTGACCTATATATGCCTGATTCCATGTTGTTTGACAATGCCCTGATGGGAATGTCTTCTCTCCTTAACTGACTCTCATTTTAGAGCAACAATCCCTATATGACATCTATTCCTTCTGGCATAGGACATTGGCTGGCTCACACTGAGAACATAAAGTTTCCAGTAATTCTGATGAATTAAGCACATACGAGTACATTCAAGATTCAGCATAAAAATGACATTTCTAAAGTACAATAATGCAACATAAGTCAATCCATGTGAATCAGCCTATAATATTTCAGTACTGTAAATATTGTATGTATGAGGGCATTCAGATGAGTGAGACCAAAGCCTCAACATTCCTTACTAAATGGCATCAGAAAAGAATTCAGAGGCTGTGTGCATTGTGTGTACCTGTCACCGGAATCATTTTATCAGCTATTCCTGGATTGTTGAACTCGGGCTTCATAGACACAATGGAATATAAAGTTAGACCTAGCTTATAAGGCCTTATGGAAGCTCCTCCTACTGATAATCCATACAGTGAAGGAGAAAATAGTAATCATTTGTTTGCATAGCTAACTTAGCTGGCTGGGTCATCCACTTCATACTGGCTTGTTCAGTTTGTTGCATCATCCCACTTTCTGCTTCATACACAAATATTTTTGAGGCCATAATTCTCCATCTCCATCATGAACCACTGAATAGATGACAATGAAACAAATGAATAATAGCGATACCCTGCCTCTTGTAGCATAGTCTAGAGATTTTCTAATAAAAGCTCATGACTGATCTTAACACAAGCCAAAATAGCCAAAAATGGTTAACCAAGAGTGAAAAATGAAAGGCACAGAAAACTGAATAGTCTTTATTTATTTTTTAATGAGATTACAGTTGCCAGGATTATTTGGTTCCTAGTCCTATGCTACATTAAATGGCAGTGACCTGTTTTCATGCCTGCCTTTCCTGCTCACACTGGATTCTACCTGCTTTCCTGTGAAGAAAGCCAACAATAGATCTCAGATTGTGTTCAAATAAGGGTGATCCAATGTGATCCCTCCTGGGTTGCTGAGCCAAATCTCTCCCTAGAAGATAAAAAAAAAGTATTCTAGTCTTGGCTATTAAATAACAGTGCAGACATCTGGACTTGGAAAGACAAGAAAACATTTGGATGAGTAGAATCATTAGGCAAGAGGCACAGAGACAAGGAAAAACAAGGAACAGGGATAAGTGCCAGGCCCAAGATAGAACAGGAGCTTCAGTCAGTGCCCTGGATAATAGGCTTCTAACTCTTCTAGAGGCTCCTGACTGCTAACATGTTGGGCTCAACGTAAAGGTATAGGAGAACTGAACACTAGAAAGTGAACACATCACATTTTATCCACCTAAATGTAGTGCTAAATATAGAGACAATGAGGGAAACAAAGATAAAGCCAGTAGGTACTGAAGTAACTCACCAAGATGAATGTCCCAGTCCTGCCACTTTGAGTAGGATAATTCCGTAATGTGTGTTCATTCATGTATACATGCATGTACTTATTCATTTTTTATTTGTTGAACACCTTTTGTGAATCCACCAATATGTTAAATTTAGTGCTGTGTTTACGTAGCTGCAAAGGATAGTAGTATAGTCTCAAGACTAGCATAAATTGGGAATTGAATTTCACTTCCTCCACTTGATACACAAGACATTTCAGGTAACTTGCATAGCCACTCAAAACCTCGGTTTCTTTGTGTATGAAATGAGTGCACTATTCATTCCTGTTTCGTTGGGTATTGTAAGGATTGGTTTTAATGATACCTGGAAAACTCAGAGTTGTACAGTACATGTTACTTTGCTTCTATTGTTCCTTTTTCTTTTGTCAATATTCTACCTCAGTTGGAAAGAGTAAGGAGTCACAAATGAGAACTTTTTTAACCATGAGAGCTGACCACACCAGATGGACTGCTCAAAGAGATCAATGTCTCTTCTGTTCACCTCCTCCATCAGTTTAGGTGGTGGTAAAAGAATTCATCTTTGAGGACGAAATGAGGACAGATACACAGACTTTTCCACCCAGTCACTCTTGAACCTGTCATTTTCCCAGGAAACTGCAGCATAACTGAAATATCTCAGATGTAACCCACTACTTCTTGTTTTATGAATGCGTTTTGATTTGAGCCTTGCCAAATCTCTGCAATAATGACATTACTTTTCTCCTTTCGCAGTTAGGGAAACTGAGACTACTCAGAGCCTTCCCCAGATGGCACCACTAGAAAAGGTTAGAAAAAATCATCAGTCCCCCAAATACAGGATCTCTCACTGCACTCCAGTTACTCTTGATGAATTCAGCCCAAGAATCCTCAGGAAATTTGTCAAAAATGACATTGGGGTGGGAATTTGTCCCCACAGAGTTAGTGGGAGTTAGTGCTTCTCCTTGAATCTCTTTACATGATGCATTATCTAAAGCCCCCTTCCCTCCTAGAGGGGGAAAAATACTTGCTGGGACTGGAGAAATTGTATAGTGGGTTGGGTAATTGTCTTGCATGCCGACCTAGGTTAGGTTTCTGGCATCCCACATGTTCCCCTGAGCAGAGCCAAGAGTAAGTCCTGAGCATGGTCTGGTATGCCCACCCTCCCACCATCCCCCCTCCACACACACACACAAAGCTGCTTAAAAATACCTGAGATCCAAAAGGTTTAAAAAGCTCCTGCAGAAAATCTCTACTTCCGCCTTCCGACATTGGTCTCCTTTTGGAAATACAAAGCCACTCCATCAACTATCTGCTCTGATGAAAGGCAGGCTTGCAGGAAGCATTCCAGAAATTCATGGTTGAATACCATCTTCACCATCTTTCATTTCTGGGATTCGACAAGGAGGGTGAGCAAGGTAAATCTCTCTCTCTCTCTTTCTCTCTCTCTCTCTCTCTCTCTCTCTCTCTCTCTCTCTCTCTCTCCCCCTCCCTCCCTCCCTCCTTCCCCTCCCCACACCACCTCTTTCTCTCTGCTCACCCTCCCTCCCTTCCTCCTTTCTTTTTTTTTCCCTTTGGTCAAGAGGAACAGATTACATTCTTGAATCCTTTGCCATGTTATAAACAAGGCTAAGCACACAGCATTCCTTCTTAGGCACATGGCTCTGTTTTTAAAACACAGGTCTGGTCCCCCTGGAATTTAATGTTTGTCTCAATACTGTTCTTCCTATTCATTTGGGATCTATTATAATTCGATGCTATTAATGGTGGCCAAGAATGGAACAGTTCTTTCATTCATCATCTCTTTCCCTTCATCTCTCCCTCCACACCCTCTATCCTTTATAATTACATCTGTAATCCTATAAACATTTCCAAGGACAGTGCCAAACTTTAAGTGCTGCCTGTTATTCTCTTGTGTGGGTGGTTTCGCCCTCATACCTGTGCCTCCAGTTTTAGCTGGCAGCCTGTTAGTCCTCATCCAAAGTGCTTGGTCCTCAGCATCAGCCTTATTTGAGGATCAATTATTGGGTTTATTTCCATGACTTGGAAAGGTGTTTGTTCTTTTTAGGTCCCTTTAATGGGGTCAGTTGAAAATGTGATCCTGGAGGGATGGTGGAAACTTGGCTGAAGTGCCAAGATGCTCTCGCCACAAATTCTTACTACTTTTTTTGGCATTTGGTTGTTAAATATTGGGGTCATTGGAAACAGGAGATTGGTATTTATGAGAGGTTAGGATACAATCATTGAAAATTGGCTATTTATAAAATATACAGGTATTTTCTAAGCCAAAGGAATAGGCTCATGTTTCCAGAGGGTACCTCACATTCAACAAAGTTGCCAACTCTGTTTCTGGAATATTTCTGAAAGTGCTCCTTGAGTTTTAGGTGCATTTTCTTTTAAAACCTTTCCACAGGGAAAAATCTTCCCTGTGGATTTCTGTATACCATACTCGGTATATTTTTCATTTCCCACTTTCTGATTCCTAAAGGAATGAAAAATAAAAATGAAAAATTGAGAATGACAGTGTTGATCAGCTCCCTCTCGTTCTAATGCTAGCAGACTACCTATTGAGCAGAATGGATGGAACGACAGTGCTGATATTGGGGTGCATGATGGGCTTTCTCCAATGACTGCTTTCCATGAATATTCTGAGTCCCACCATGCTCAGTGGGCTGTTTTCACAGGTAGACCACCTGCCTGTCTTCCCAGTCAAACTTTCCCCCAGTGAGTCCAACAATAATACATCTCTTTTATATTAAAGATCCAAGAATCTCATGAAAAATCATCAGTACATGAAAATACCAGAACAACACACAGTCATCTGAGAACCACTTTCCTTGAGTTATTAGAGGAGATTATGTTACTCAGAGACCCAAATGTCTGCTCACACTTGGAGTCTAACATGGTGACCCTCTTTGAAAATTCAGAAGGGCTGGGAAGGAAAGATAGTACAGGGTCAAGGCACTTTCCTTGCACACAGCACACACTTGGATCCGTGGCATCACCTATGATTGCCTAAGTATGTGTAGGAGTAGCCCATGACCCAGGAGTAGCCCTGAATGCTTTGAAAGTTTCTCAGAGTTGTGCACTCTTATTTGGAAGTGTCATTGTCAATAAGACTGTTTTTCTTCTAGAGCTGTGGATCTCCATCTGAAGCATTTATGTCCATGAAGACACATTTGACACTGTCTAGCAACCTTTTTCTATTTCTATTATATTTTCTGCACATGCAGGATGGTATGATTTAAGTAAAGGTGAGAGGTGTCACTAAGCATCTTACATGCCACTGGATTGCCCTTCCTCACCATGCACACAAAATATTCATCCCATATGTCAGTAGTGCTGAACTGGACAAACCCATGCAATAAAAAATCAAGGCAGCCAATGATTTAAGTGAGAATGTAGCCCCAGCAAAATACCAACACTCTTTTCTGATTTGAGCAAAGATATAAAATTCTGAGCTGAGGGTCTCTTCAACGAAGAGCCTAGAAATGGGAATGCACCCAAACCACCTCATGCCCTTGGCATCCTCATTTGATCTTTCCTCCACCATGTTTGGGTGAACAGTGCCCTTGGTTGAACTCGGGCACTGGACTGGGCAGAAGACCAGCAACACTTCGTCCATCCATGATTTCATCATCTTCTTTCTGTTGTGTAACTGCCAAGCCCCTTCTGGATTTTATTTATTTACTGATTTAATTTTTGTCTTTGTTTTTAACCTGTGAGGAAACAGAAATCTGGAGAATTCTGCTCACTCTTTGGAAGGCCAGAAATAGAGTCAGCATGATCACTGGATCTCCTGAGATCAAGCCTAGTACATAACTCAGCACTGTATGTTCCCCACACTTCCCTCTGATGGGAATGAAGGGTGGCAGCCCTGGGTCAACAGTACCCACCATGTTACATGTTTCTTTACTTGCCCAGCCAGTGAAATCTGGGTCCACTCATGAGTGAGCATGTGTTTCTCTCTGCTACCGGGCCTTGCAGAAGTCCTGAGCTGAAAAAACCTAATCCTAAATTCTCAGTTGAACTCAGAAAAAGGTTTTCTTTCTTCTATTCACAACCTCTGTTGTTTTCCAAACATGCCCAGTTGATATTAGGAGCAATCCTGGTAAGGGTCACCATTGTCAGAGTCCAGGAACATGTCAGCTGATAGGGCTGAAGAATGCCTTGAATCACAACTGTTCTTTTAAAAGTGAAAGTCGGGCTGGTGAGATAGTGCAGGGATTAAGGTGCATGACTTGCTGATGACCAAGCCTGGTTCAGTCCCACCACACACCATCACTGAAAGCAGCCCCAGAGAACTCCTGGGGTAACCCAGATAAATCCCAGCACTGCACCCGTGGGCCCTTGCATTTAACTGCCAGACCAGTTAGCCAGGAATTTTTTAAGAGGCACATATCCAAAGTAAATAAAAAGGAGGAGGAAAAGCCTTTTGTTTCAGAAAAATGTTTCTGGGCTTACCACTGGATTTCAGTGAAGGAGAGAAAGCAATATCGGTGCAAGGTAGACTACTATTCTCACTACACAAAAGGTTTACAACAAGAATGTCCAATCTCGGTATGTAATTAATCACATTTGTTTTCCTTAGAATTCAATCATAATTAGCATTGATAGTCTAACCTTTGAGAAGTCTACCAAATGGTTTTCAAAACATTTTTACACTCGAGTCATTGAGAGGAGGTGGTGCATAGGTTTCTGTTCAGAAAACAGCAGAAGAACAGTCAGAATATTCTTCCAGAAAGTGGGCCTGGTTAAACATGAGATCAGGAATGGCATCCTGTCTATAGGGTCAACAGCCTATTAAAACTAAGAAGACATATGGGCTCCCAGAGCAGCTTCTGGAAAATGTGTCCTGCATCAGGACTCATGACTTTGCAGAAGAGAAAGGAAACAAAACCCATGGATCCAAGCAGCACTAAAGGTCTTACAGCACTTGTAGTTAGAAGGAAGCAGGCAGACCTCTTGCAGGCTCACCACCTGATGGAATAAACTTCAAAAGTCTTTCAAGAATGAGTCAAGCCCTCCCTGCTATGGGAAGTTTAAAGCTCTTTTAGGCAGCCAATTAAAATTTCCCCGTGCTTGGCAAACCCAAGGAAGACCTGTCCCCACCATTTTTGCCCTTTGATTGTCAGCATAGGTGCATCATTTCACCTAGCCAACCCTAATAAAGCAACAGAGCAGAGAAGCTAAAGAGCAAAGAAAATATGTTGTCCGCAGTCCAGGAGCAAGGAATCACGATAAAGGTGTTACGACAGCTTCAGAAAATGTGAGGGTGAGCCCTGTTGCATTCTTACTGCTGGTGGCTCTCACATACCCCCTGACTCAGTCTCTCTTAATGTCTTCATGGTGAATGCTTTCTTCTTCTTCTCCCAAGTTTCATGTCTCTACCCAAGTTTCTTTAGTGACTTCCTTTTAGCTCGACCACTTTCTGCAAGTCTTCTCTCCACATAAAGTCACCTTTTGGGATACTGGGGTCAGTAAGGACTGTAGCATATTCTTCTGCAGAGGGATCAATTTATCCCATAATAGCAACTCTCTACCGTATGCTTTTGAGGACAGGAATTGTCTTGTATTCTTGTGGCCTCTATTACGAGCCTAACTGTAGGGAGTACAGTTAAGTTTGCTGTAATATCAGAGGCAACGTGAGGCCTGAAATATATCTGTCCAGAGTAGGATTTGGTCCCTTGAAGAGGCTTGTTTGTGGGGCTACAACATTTAAGATATTCTACCAAAAATATATCCAGGTCTGCAGTTATAGACCTCATTTAGAACTGCAAAGTTGAAAAAAGGCTGTGACTCAGCCATGCCATTAGTAAGAGTTAGGCAGTCAACTCATTTCTGAGCCAACAGCTCTGTAACCATCCCTTCCTGAGTCTGTTTCCAGTTTCTGTTTCCAGACCCCACTCCATAGATCACATTTGACTTTCACTCCTTAATTTATCTTCTGTAGATAAAATAATAGTAAGTCAAAGTTCATTCTCCCTTGTCATCTTCAGTCTTCCTCTACATATCATTCTTCCAATAAAGCAACACACATTTTGAGGAGCATTAATGGGACAGAAGACCCATGCTTAAGATCCCCCTTTGATGTTGATTCTTGCAGGTGCTTCCAGAGAGTCTACCAAGTAAAAATTACATTCCTTAGCTTGAACATCCTGATGTTTCTGTGCTTTTAGACCTCTTCCCTGATGGTCCCACATTAATCCTTTGCCCCAGAACATTATCTCCAGATCTTTCCCATCTATACATTTTCACCTCAGAGCTGTGATTTTTTTTCTATTTTCTATTTCTTTCACTATCCTTATGATATATTTACATACTTAATTAGAAGTCATTGATCATTAGGGACACTCAAACAGGAGGAATGTTCTCATTTAAATTGGAATTAAATCAGCTG